ATTTTCAATAACTGCTTTTTCTTCTTTTCAGTTTTAATTTCCATGTTATTTAGGCCCTTTGTTTACAGTCCATGCAATGTAAGGTTTAACAGGTCTTTCCCTTAAGCACTTTTAGGAATTTCAAAAAATAAACTAATATCTTGAGAAATGGAGTATGGGGTGAAGATATTACCTCCTGGATGGAGATGGAAGGAATGCATAAAATGAAAATGTGAGCCAACATGCATTTTAGCATCAGCTGCCCTCAATTAATTTAAAAAATTCATTATTTTTTATAAAATAATCTGAGATGCCATTATACTTTGCATTATCATTTTTAATATAAAAGAAGATCTGCCATACCATAATAGGTCTTCTATCCTAACAATTTTCTCAAGTACATCAGTCTGCTTTATTATTCACTAGAGTACATTTCATCCAAAGTTAGAAAAGGAACTGTAGTCTATCTGATCTTCATGTACACTCCTTATTTGTAAAACTGTTAACTAAGAAGGTTTCACTGCGCAGCTGTGTACTAAATTGTGTGCTGCACTTGTGTGCCTCTTTCTTGTGAAATGCCACTGTGCGGATGGTCACATAATATCAGTTCACTTTGCTTCTTTTGTGACCATGTGTGGAAACCCAGGGCAGTGGGAATATTTCTCTGTCTGTTCTGGGGTGTCCTGACCCCCAGGGGAGCACTGACTTTGACCCTCAGTAATGGAGAAAACTTCCAAAGCCTCAAGGTGAACTAGAAACCACAAAAGTGTGAAATAGATTGTAGAGATTGTAGATAGTAGTGTAGTATGTCACATGGGTGAGAAATTTAGGTTTCAGGATTTTTAGTATGTTATAGATGGATACAAGATGGAGGGTACAGGGTGTCTCTTCCTTTCTTCTTTCTTCTTCCTCTTTCTTCTTGGGTTTAGGTGGTATCTTGTAATTGGGTAGAAAAATCCACATTGTGGGTCTTTAGGGGTCAGTTATTGGGTTAGAAAGGAAAATAATTTAGGTGTCACTTCTTAATTGGGTAGCTTAGTTTTTGATTCGACTTTAAAGGCTTTGTAACAAGAGATTGTTGGCCGTTTTTGTGCTGTTTTTCCTGCACACAGTCTGGTGCAGACAGTGTGCTGAAGTTTTGATAAGATAACAATAAACAGAAGCTGAAGACCAAAAAAGTCTAATGTGTCTCTGGTTCATGACACAGAACTGCTCCAGGAGGGTCTCCCCTGCCAGGGGAGCCCACAGGGATTTACCCAACTTGGGGACCACAAACTCACAACCATGGCTGACACACACTGTTCAACATTGGGAAATGTGATGTCCAAATATGATCTTCTAGAGAAAGCGCAGATCCTAAAGTTTACAGGATGAGTGACAGTTTCTCACCAACCCACCAGGGATACAAATGCATGGCAAACAAATCATACAGCATCATCAGTTCTAGCGAGAAGAATTGAAAGCCTATATTCCTGAAAATACTTGCATGTATTATTTTTCCTTTCTAGTTCATTGGATGTTTCAGAGTCCAAACTGCAGACTATGATCCACACTGTTGCGTCATTTCCAAAGAAACTGTGTTTACGCTCATTTGACCTGACAGTGTTCAGTGTGGCCACACCATAGAGCTTTCCAATGGTTCTTCTAGCATGCTGTTGAATTTTCTATTTAGAGGCCTTCCTCCTAGAGCAAAGATTTCCTCATATTTTAAAGGAGAAATTCAAACAGACTTTAAAAGATACAGAAACTAGAAGTACTACCAAAATTACATTTTTCTACCCTCAGAGATTCTGGATTTTGAGAGCTGATTAAGAGAACTGCACAGATGCTTTGCACAGACCTATATAGAGAAGGTAGCAGAGAATCCATCTCTGAAGATGGGAAGACAAATCCGTTATAATCTGATAAAGACCCAACCTTGAAGGGATATAGATTCAGAGAGGAACTTTGAAGATGTTACCTTCTTGGAGGCTATTGATTTCAAAACACATCATGCAAACATGTAATTACAAATTCAAGTAAATAATATTAACATAAATATTTTCAAATTTTGGTTTTTAAAAAAAGCATTTGGTTTTTAGTCTTGTAGTACAAATATTGCATTGCCATGCACAAAGATTAAAGAGATACCTGATTGACACAGAAGATACAACATCACTGGAAAATGTCTCAAAATTAGGGCATCTGGCAAGGGCTATTTTGCTGCCTCACAACTTCACAAAGCAAACGGAAAGCAAAATATTTACCACTATTAAAAATTACCATGACTAAGTAGTGAAAGCATCTTCAGGCTCACACAGTTTGGTTAAAAAGAAGAGGGGAAAATGCCAGAGGTTATAATTAACAAACTACTTGGATTTCAACTGCTCAAGCTACATCTGAGTAACACCAGTCTTACAGCAGTAGAATCCATCTCCACACCTTTGTTACAATTGGAGGACTATTTTTGTAACTTTCTAAACCACAATATCAACTATTTAATGAATTAATAAAAATCAAAATGGAAAAATATTCTGGGCATTGTTCTACGGTTACATTTCACAGCATTTTCCTGACTGAGGAATATGAATATCCTGAGGTCACTTATGCTATGCAGCATCTTTCCAGCTACATTGAGTCTTGAAAGTAAAAAGTCTACCAGAACCCAGCATATATTTACAAATTAAAATAGCCAATGACCTCCTTAAAATACAACCATACACAAACATACATACATAAGCCCCACCTTATGTTCAATTCTTAATGTGCAGGATACCAAAGTTCTTACACAGATTATTTAGCTGAGAATGGCCTCTGAAAGCAGGATTATCAAAAGCCACTGAAAGGCGAAAGGGCCACAGTGCTCAGAAGGGAGGCTGAGTATCACAGAGCTTGAATTTAGGCTTAGAGAGGATACTGGAAATACCTGGCTCAAAATCATCTCCAAGGTGAGCGCCATATTTCTCTACCTTAGGCACTACCAAAACAGTCAGTCAGAAAGCAGGAAGTTGGAAAGGTTGCAGTATGTCACTGACAGTCTACTCCTTTCTGCTAGGAGTTCTACTGACAAGCAGGGAATCCCAGCAGACCATCAAATTGCCACAGTTCTGGGAAACAGACAAAGTAAAAGGGGATTTTGCTTCCTGTGAAGCAAGGGTGGAACTGGCTCCAATCACATATCTTGATTATAATCACAGAGTATCTCAAGTTGGAAGGTACCCATAAAACCACTGAGTCCAACTCCCTGCTTCTCACAGGACCACTTACTACTAAACCACATGACTAAGAGCATCATTCAGATAGTCTTTGAACTCTGATAGGTTTAGTGCCCTGACCACTTCCGTGGAACGTCTGCTCCAGTACCCAGCCACCCTCTCAATGAAGATTTTCCTACTGTCCAGTCTGAACCTCCCCTGATGCAGTTTCCTTCCATTTCCATGTGTCCTACTGCTGGTCACCAGAGATAGGAGATCATCACTTCTCCATCTGCTGATTCCCTTGAGGAGGCTGTAGACTGTGATGAGGTCACCCCTCAGCGTTCTCCAAGCTGAACAAAGCAAATGTCATCAGCTGCTCCTCCTAATCCTTGTCCTCAAGACCTTTCCCCATCTTGGTCACCCTGCTCTGGATCCACTCTCAACAGTTTGATGTCCTTGTATCAAAGTGCCCATGGCATCTTTTGATTGACACAGAACTACTGATAAAAGTACTTGTGTCTTGTGCCCTCTTCAACAATGACTGTCACACCACTCACAGATTTCACCAAAATCATACCCGTTCCTAGAAAACCTTTTAAAATTACCAGGTGCTCTGTTTGAGCCAGGTTGACTACCATTTACAGCACAGCAGCCCTGGGTTTAAAATTCCTATGCAGAGCAGTAGGCCAGATCAATAGAAACAAAACCTGAATCAGAGCAGAAGCAATAAACTTCACATTATTGCCTGAAAAGGAACAAAATATTCTCCTGATAGGCTACCTTGATGCTTAGACCAAGCATGGTATCTGCACCACAGCAGAATCTGACCCAGCAAATCAGAGATGTTGAGAATGGGAGTCCAACATGTCACTTTACAGTGAGGTACAAAACACCATCAGAATGCAAATGTTTTTTTTTTTAATGTTTTTTAATTTTTTTTTTCCTTACAAGAGGTCAAATTAAATTTTTAAAATATGTAAGTTTCTATGTTCCCAACCTATAAGGTATGAGCAGCATCTTTTAAATATTTGCATTCTCAGCAAAACCCAGAAACAGCCTATGAATGAGTATACACTGTCATAAGATAACTAAAATGTAGGATCCAGATCTGTCCTAAGTGGCCAAAATAAAACTGAAAAATGGCAATCCAGTAATTTAAGCATAAATTGCACACCAGTCCAAGAGGCAGGTTTCCTCCATCAGTGATTGTGAAAAAGGCATGTGATGCATGTACAAAGAGATGCATTCTGCGGGGTCTGTGTTTGCAAGACAGAATTCCTTCTCACACATAGGCACGCCGGCGCTGACAGCCCAGGACACGTACAGGTGCAATCATGAACATTCTGCTAGGCAGGAAGCCTTGTGTACCGCCGTGGGAGCGGTGGAACGGGCAGAGATGCACCGCGAGTGGAAACGAGCGCAGGGAGCACCCGCAGGGCCGCGCTGGCCTCGCTCCGTCGGGCTCCCCCGCGGCGCCGAGGCCCAGCCCGGGCTCCGCCGAACGCCCCAGCCCCGGAGCATCCCATCCCTTCCCTTCCCTCCCTGCAGCAGCAGCCGCGCCCAGCGCCGCGCCCGCTTCGGGTGGACAATGACCGGCGGGCACACAATGGTGCAGGGCCGGCGGGAGCTGAGGCGGCTGCGGGCTGCGCCTGCCACACCTCTCCCGCCATCTCCCATCTCCTCTCCATCAGCGGCGCCGGCTGCCGCTCGCTCTCCCCTCCCGTCCATCACCTCCATCGCTTCCTCCCCGCCTCGGCGCCGCCGCCCCGGCCCCTCGCAGCCGGCCGGGCATTGTTCTACCGCCGCGGGCACCGGACGACCCTCTCGGCCGCCGCCGCCGCTCACCGTGCCGCCAGGGAAAGACGCCGAGCGGCCAGGGATGAGCACGGCGCATCCATCGTCCTGCCGCCGCGGCGGCTCCAGCGCCCGCACCGGCCCCGCCGTCTCCCGCGCGCCGGCGCTGAGGGCGCGCGCCCGCCCCGCCGCCGCCCCGCGGCCGAGGCTGCGCCGCCGGTGCGGGGCTGCGGCAGCCCCGCCCGCCCCGCCGCAGCTGCGCCCCGGCAGCGCCGGCAGCGCCGCGGGGGCGCGGGCCGATCGCCGGAGTGCTCGCGGCGCCCGGAGCGCGCGGCGCCGCCGGGACTCCCTGCCGGCGTGACCGAGCCGGCCTCTGAGGACGAGAGGCCGCAGCCCGCCGACCACGGTCACTCGAGGCCTCCGGCGTCCCCTCAGGCTGGAGCTCGCCCCAGGCCTCACGACTTCCGAGACCTTAGCACTGCTCTCCAGTTGGACAGCACGTCAATGGCCACAATACTTGGGAGTGTGACCTTCGTCACCCTGGGCTCCACGTAGCCAATCCATGTCTTTCCAGCATAGAGACAAGGACACTGTGAGAAAGCAACAGCACCAAATGCTTTGCACAAGCGCAAGTAAATGACACTCTTCACTTATCCACCACCACATTCAACCCCCATGCAGAGAGCCAGTACCAAGTTTATCAAGCACAATTTGCCCCTAGTGACAAAAATTTTATAAATGGTCTCATTGATATCCTCAGGTTTGCATGGAATTAGGACAGCTCTTGCAAAATATATCAAGATCCAGTTTTACTGTCTAAAACCATCTGCAGTAGAAATGATTGTTGAATGGATACTATGGGACATAAACCAAGTAATTTCTAGAGATGCCCAGAACTAAGAACATGGGTTCCCTCTGTTCCCTGGACATACTGCAGATGCATTGTACAGAGAGCCCAGGGCTGTGACCTGCAGGTTTCCTGATGTGTCCTCCTGTATAATTGGTCTCATGAAACACAGGAAGCTATGGCTAAATGGGAAGGGTTTTCAAAATGCCTTGTCCTTGATTTAAAGTCATGCCACAGACATAGTGATGTGGCTGTAAATTTATAGGGGTGAACAAGAACACCAATTCTGAAACAAAGGCATAATTATCTTCTTGTCTCCTTAACAAAATTATCCATTATAGTTCAATTGATTCCATTGCTACAGTACACATGGAAGCTGCACCATAAAGAAGCCCAAGAACTGTAATTTCATTATTTTTTAATTGTGCTATCCCAACTGCTTTTCTACTGAAAGCCAGAACTATCCATCAGACCTACAGTGATAACTCGGACAGCTGTCACCTGTAGCTACTTGGAATTCCCCTGACATTTGCCAATCCTTTAACATACCCATGGGACCTAAGTACCTATTCTGCTGCTTTAGTAAAATGTCTCCTGTGTAGTTCAAGACAAGCAAAAGTCATTATGTAGACAGGTAGGTAACAGTTTCTGATTATTACAGCAGTGATACGACTAAGAGGTCCTCCAAAGAAGTGCAGTAAAGACCAGAGGTAACTTGGCAGAATCAAACTTAAAATGTATTTTAACTCAAGCAGACAAGCTCTTCCCAATGCCTCCCTTAGGAGTAGTCCTGTGTACTGGGATATGTCTGCCCTCTGACTGGAATGACTTGGTGAGAAGCAGAGCAGGTTCTCACATTGCAGCACTTTCACATCAGGCTCCCCTCTCCCTGTTGAGACCCATCTGTCTTCAGCTGTGGACTCTGCTAACTCCTTCCCTTCATGTGAAGGAAACAACAAAAGGAGGAATTTCCCTAGAAAGAAGTAAGTGGTTGCATGTCCCATCTGCAATGTCACATCCAATGCACAAGTTAGAAGTATCAGAATTGTTCATGGTGTTACAGAAGACAGATTGAGAGGGGAGACACGACGTGTGGGAGTATTGTTGGCTGACAAGGATGCAGGAAGGAAAAAGGGAGCAGCAACATCTGTGGATGATGTTTCTCCTTGGTTGCGAAGCTGTAAGATCTGGCGCAGCAGGGCCTTTCCTTCTTCTCTAGTCTGAAATTAATTTGTAGAAAACAGAACAATACAAGTATGAATGGATGGTTTCTGGGTCAAATTCCGTATGTAAGCAGTGTAACTTAGAGTAGCATGTCATTCTGTAAGGCTAGAAGCTATAAAAGCCATTCTCAATTTTTTTTCTTTGGCTTCTCAGAAATATTAAGGTAAGTCACTTTTTTTCATTTTAGTCTTTCCTCCTTTTACTCCTGATTGGTGTGTCTCTTCGATATTTCAGAGAACAAAAACATCAACCACTGAAGCTGTCTAAATATTCTAGCAGGAAGTAGATTGGGAAAACTTTGAATAAGGTGAATTCAGGTTGTAGAGAGCTCCAGGTAGCTTTGTCAAGGATAGGCCAAACACCCTGCACTCATGGTTACGGTCTACCACTAGGCTGAAATTAAAAATCTCAAACTGCCCACTTGCAGATACATAACATCACAGAGTATGGAGTTGCACACAAAACCCAAGTACTGGTATATTCTCTGCACTGTCCACACACAGAAGATGAGGAAAAAAAAGTTTTAGAAGTACTACCACTACACGTGTGGGAGTTTGTGACCATTCAACGACCTCCTCAACACCAAGCTTTTTAGCAGCCTTACAACTGCCATGTGAAGCTTCAAATTCTTTTACTTAGTGAATACCAGTGAGATATAGTTCAATTTCACTATCTACACCACATTCCACTACTTTTATCAACCATACTCAGCATAACTGAGGTATACATGACAACCACCATTCAGGATGTGACCTGTATGGCAGACAGCCCTCATTCCTTCATAAAAGACTCCTTCTACTCTGAGGGGGAGCCAAGATCAAGGTCATAGATCCCTTAAGAACGAAGAACCAAAGACCGTGCAGGTACTCACATCATTGAAGGCACAGCATTTCTGAGCACATGCTGAAGCTTCATCCCAAAGCTTACATTTGAAGTAGTACTGGGCCAGGTAACGAAATGCAGTGCTGACCTCCAGGTGCTCCACTACCTCCTGCCGTGAGTGGGGTAAAAACATCATTTGTAAGTGCCTTCCAAAGTAGTTCTACAGCATGCTTACTTCTTTTATTCCCAAGCTATCATCTTACCCCACAGGAATAGATATCCTGGATGTATTTGATGTAGCATTGAGCTGCCTGTTCAGATTCATTCAGCTGTTCATGCAACCTACAAAAGGAGAAAAGTGGGTCACTGGAACAAGACTGCACTGTTGAAGACATTCTTGGTCTATGAGAACGTACCTGCTCACCCTAACCTGGACGAAAGCCAGGTCCTTTCTTTCAGAATTTGCAGGGCATGCAACATGTATTGCCCCTCATGGAAAGAGATAATCCAGTTTGCATTCATGCTGACAGACACAGAGGCAGTCAGATAGTGACTAGACAGCTAGAAGCAGTGACAACCAAAGCAGGGACCTTTGTATATTCTGTTGCATTTTAAACCTTTTAACAGACCTTTGCCATTCTACTTACTCGCTATTTCCTCCAGTCCTCCTTCTTCCCCTGCTACAACCCAAATTTGTACAGCAGTCTCACTTTTCATTTGCCCTTTTTCCCCTCTTCGCTTTTCCCACTTTATATTACTTTATCCCCAGCAAAAAAAAAATTAGTACTGATGTCACAGTATTCACATTAGACCTCTTCCAATGTCACAGCTGTAAACTAGAAAGGAAAAGTAAATACTACAATTTTGTACATCATCTACCGTCATGGGCTGCTTTTAAGTTGCAATACAAGAAATACAGTTGCTAGTACTGCATGCTCAAAACACTGCAGGATTCAGAAGTCCTTTGCAACCCACATAATGCTACCATTCTCTTTAATTATCCTGATGGAAACAAAGATAAAGCTCGACACCAAAATTTGCAGTCACTACAGCCCTAAAGATAGCAATTCTTACACAGCTCCAAAAGTAATACTAGCTAACAGCAATTCCACTTGTTTACATTCTGTATTTTATCATCAGGCATTAAAGTGTGACTTGCATTTAACACAACTCTGACAGTTCAGTGAGCGTACATACTCACTTGGCGAGTTTCACAAGTGCCATTTTCTCCACATCTCCCACAGCATAAGCTCTCCAATAGCACTGTCAAGGAAGGAAAGTCAGTCAAGCATATGCCACAAAAATTAGTCCAGCTCATGACTCCAGCATGCAAATCAGAAACAAGAAACTACAGGAACTGTCAGCAAAAGAGGCATGTGTCTGTATATAACTCCTTATTTATCAACTACTCTAGTTATATTGCAACAGTGCTTCCCAACTGTAACTGCCAATGAGTTTACGTAGCACTAGCTACATAATTTTGCTTAAATTTCACCCAGTGTTCTGGGAGACACCCTAAAGTCTTACAACATCAGTTCTCACCTTCTTAGCTTCCACCAACTGATTGAGTTTCTCATAGCATTCTCCTAGAGCAACCAGCATACGAGAATCATTTGGTCTGTAAAAGAGCAATTCTTCAGGTAGTCTAATGGACTGCCAGCTGATCTCAGGGTGGGGGGAAAATGGGGGGGTGGTCAAGGGAAAAAAGTAATTTACACCTGACAGTCTGTCATCCTTTTGCATAAAGCACCACTCTTACTCCTGACCAGTCATCCTCAACACTTAACTGACAAAGCTTTTGTTAACAGTTAACTAACACAACTAAAAGAATTTGAACAGTGGGACTGTACACATCGCAAAGCATCAATGTTTTTTTTTCCTTCCCCAACTTAGTTCTTGCATGTAAATTCCTTAGCCAGTATCAACCATATCAGAATGAAGACAAATAAACACGGCTCCATTCTCAACTCTACCTGAGCTGGTGGGCCCGTCGGTAGTAGTAGAGACAGTAAAATGGCATTTTGAGGATTTCATAGGTTTGTCCCAAGCCATACCATGCTCTGTAGTCCCTTTTGTTCACTTCTATTGCATGCCTGTCAATGAAAAGAAGATTAACTAGACAGAAAGTCAGGATCAAAACCAAGTCCAGCAAAACACTAAGAAAAAATAGAAAATACTGCTTCAAAAGCAAACAGCATTTTGTTCAGTACATGAGCGTGAGCGGTACCTATAAGCCTGGATAGCTGCAGATGTGTTCTTCATTTCCATATACTCATGTCCCATTAGTGTCCAGGCTCCTAGATAACGAGGATTCAGTTTCAAAGCCCTCTGGAAATAGAGTGCTGCTTTTTCATGCTGGGAACGCAAGCTATAATAATTTCCTGAAGTAAAAGGCATAATATTTAAATAAATTAAAAAAAACCACAACCAACCAAAAAAAAAAAAAAAAACAAAAAAAAAAAAAAAAAACAAAAAAAACTCGAATATCAATCGAGAAGCATACAAAAGGATGTAATGTTTATTATCTACTACTTCATAACAAAGAATCCGAATAATGACAACCGATTCAAACCTCAAGAGACCTAATTGCACTCTGTTCACCAGTGTTCTGGTCAATCCTTTTCCAGATGTACCANAAAACCAACAAAAAAAAAAAAAAAAGCCAATACCAATAGAGAAGTATAAAAAAGGATGTAATGTGTATTATCTACTACCTCCTAATAAAGAATCCGAATAATGACAACCGATTCAAACCTCAAGAGACCTAATTGCACTCTGTTCACCAGTGTTCTGGTCAATCCTTTTCCAGATGTACCAATCAATTTATGATTCCATCACCTTGGAGTGTCATGATCTAACAAATCAATTTCCTGCTCCTGACACACAACTATTTCCACTGGAGTTTGAAGGCTATATACATGGGTCTACTTTATACCCTACTATTACAGCAGCTTTCAGAGAGAAATGAAGGAAAAGGGTACTCTGTCATTTAGTCTGCTCTTCAGGATACCTGAATCCATATTCACCAAGTGGTGATTTTGATTGCCTTGCCGGTTTATCACTTCCAAAAGTGTTTTCAAGATTCTCTCACAAAGCCTACAGACAGCAAAATAAGATGTAAAAATAACATGTAAAAGAATTGGCTCTCACCAATTACACAGCAGGTCTCAACACGGTACTTGTCTATCTCACAGAGATTATGAGCCAAGTAGCTCAACTCAGGCTTCATGCTCTAGTGGAACAAAAAATTGAAGTGATGAGAAAGAGAGTACATTATGCTTTGAAAGAAACTGCAATAAGCAATTGGCAATGCATACAGTGCCTCTCTTCCATGGAATTGGGAAGAGGAAAACCTGTATTCAGAGGGCCAGAGAGCACCAGCTGCTTTGCCAGTGTTTAACATACCTCCAACAAACACCATCACTATGGAGAGGCCACATGAAGAATGCTTACCCTTACATACAGTAAGTTGGAGAAAGTGTCCATGTTTTCTATCCTGTAAGGATCTTGTTTCCTCAGCTCATTAAAAATGGATAAAGCTTTGTCAATATCTGAAGAAAGAACAGCATATGGGACACCAACAACTATAAATGCCAGCTAACAAGTTTGCATTAAGGGGGTCATTCCTACCTAGTGTCACTGACCTCTTATATTGTGGTAGGCAACTGCAATCTGAGAGATGATATAAGTGCTTTTGGAAAATCCTGCATCAATGAGAGACTGATACTTCTGCAGAGCTTCCTCTATCAGCTGCAGTTCTGTATAAATGTGTGCAAGAAAGAACTCTTTCATCCATGTATCTGGCAAGGACAGGAACTTCAGCTAGCAAAATGAGGAGGAAGAGATGACAATCAGAAGTATTCTACAAGCTACATGTGGCAAAGAATCCATTATCTTCCTTCCCATGACTTAGTAGATGGTCCTGAGGTAGGAGGATACCCTGCAGTTGCTTTCTTAAACCCATTTAGTCAATCAGGGAAGAAATTGTCTTCAAATATGACATCACCTGGTTCTTGTTTCAGCCATTAAATTCAGACTGCATTTTCCTCCTATGTTTGAACATCAATATCATAACACTAGTTTCAATGAACTATGTAATAGACTCAAAATTATATAATAAAAAATGCACTTCCCTTTTTCCACAAATTGGTAACACTCTCTTCTGCATCACTTTTTTAAACTTTTTTTTTTTTTTAAGTAGTTTTAAATACTTCATCATCCATAATTTACTGAAGAATTCCAGAACTGAACTCAAACTCCATGCAGAAAGAAAAGTAATCCTTTTTGGTTTTATATCTGAAGTTTGTTTCTCTGATACAATTCATCTCCTGTGTGGCTTTGTACATTACTTTTTCAGTTTTGAAAGTAATGATTCTATATATCCTTTCAAGCTATTCCTCAATAACTGAGAAATTAGAACTAGATTAAGAAAAAATAAAAAAGGGACATCTCTTAGATCTTCCTAAGAGGACATGTGACAAGATGATAACCCTGTGACAACTGCTTCCAAAATGCATGGATTGGAAATTTCTTAAACCATTTTGAGGGGGAATGATAAGAAATTAGCCGTGCCTGTATAAAGATTCTCAAGCTACAATATGGCAAGTAACTGAAGATAAAGAGGATTTTACAATATAATTTACAGTCATGGATTGCCTTGCCTGACAGTATCTCGCGGAATGAACCAGTGGGCAACATCAATCTTGTGCAAACAGAAACACTGGGCACTGAATCAGGCTAAACTCTTGAGATTTGTTATCACATCTTGGTATCTCCAAAGTTTTACCATCTCTTTATCCGTAATCAAGTTGCAAAGTTCCAGCCAGGCTCCCCAGTGCAAAGGCAGGACATGAGCAGCTTCAACAAATACATCTATTGCTTCTTTCACCAGGTCCAGTTTCCGCAGCACAACACCATATCTGTAAAAAAAAGTGTCAGGTTGACAAAAATCACGCAATTCTGCATATCCACACAAATATATAAGAAATACATGCAAACACTTACAGATAAAGGCCAAATCCATCCAGTTCCTGTGCTTTGTGTTTCTTGCTGAGTTCAACTCTCAATTCTCGTAGAGCTTCATTTTTCACCTGTCCTTTTTCCAGAGGTCCTACATGAAGAGAAAGTCACACAGCTAACTTTCAATAAGGAGTCTCACCACAGCAATGCCAAGTCCAGGGTACAATCAGAATTATCACAGACATGACATTATGGATTCCCAGCCTGTGTTTATGTTCCCAATTTTAAAGAAAATCGCTTAGTCTCGTCACCCAGTTTAAAATACGACCTAATTGATAAAAATCTGCAACCTGTAAGTAAGCCAATGAAACAAAAGAGAATGAAAGAAATCATGTTATAGTACCTATTATGCAAAAAATTGAGGGGAAAGCCATGGACCCAAGATGAATTACATGAAGAGTCAACAGCAAAAGCTTCATTATCTTATCATGCATTTCTTGACACCAGAGACTTACCCAAACTGTCAACTGTCTCATCATCCTTTTTCTTTTCCCCTGACTGTGGAAAAGAAAGAAAATCCAATATTACATTATAATAGTTTATTTCCTATGTTTGCTGCAGCACTTGCAGCAGCATGCAAACTGAGTTTTCACAGACAACACAGTTCTGAAAAGAACAGCCCTATCTTTCTTTACCCCCACACAGAATTTGGACTTCAAGGTGGTCATTAGGAACCACGAAAAAGAATAAGCAAAAAAATAAAATTTGCCAGGGAGGGGTCGGAAGCAGGAGTTCAGTGCTAGGAGGAAACCTTTTTTTCTACCTTACCAGGTATCTGGAGTACATGTACAAGAAGTAAGCTTTCTGGCTCTTGCAGCCCTGTAGAAAGTAGGCAGCCCTGTCATATTCCTTGAGATCAAAGTAAGACTTGGCCAATGTGTAGGCATCCAGATCACGAGCATCCTCCTGGAGGGATACACAGGAGTTTTAAGACCCAAGAAGCTCTGACATACTTTAGGAAAATCATGGTTACAAATACAGCAATAAAATTGCTCCAGAAGGTCAAAAGGTAGTTTGTCCATCTTTATACATGGTCTGAGTACTATCAGAAAAGTTCCTCTGCTCCCTCACACGATCCAATTCCAGAGTTCTCCAATAATCAGTACAGACTATTTAAGAACATTTTAAATAAAGGGGGAGATTTCAGAAACAAATTGTGGCAAGCTGCCAGAAAGCAAGGCTCAGCTGTCCAATTAGTATGAAAAACCATAAATAAGAAAACTGCTTAGGAATTCCACATAAGAGATATATTAATATTAATCTGCTAACATGCAAGAGAACACTTGGTAATTATAACTTGAAATGCATTTATGACACGTTATACTTCTATAATACACGAGGACAGGCACATACCTATGAGTTCTACTGTATTCCTACAGAGGTGGGGATAGAGACACAACTTCTTTCTCTTGTGTTCTAACAAGCACAAGTTTAGTGGCAAAACATAATTTGTATTAAAATGAATTTTGACCTCAGTAAAGAGGAATAAAAATAAAGTAGCACACGTGTGATTTCAAATTTGGCTTACAGACTGCCTCATTTAGGACACAGCAACAGATAATGCTTTCATCTGGGAAAGCACCTTTGGCTCCCTCGCCCCGTTGAACACACTAGGAAAAGGATGTCCCCAGCCTTCTGGCAGGATTGGAGCCCAGTGCAGACTCCCACCCACGGGATTTGGGAGATTGCAAGCAGTATTTTCCTTCACAGTTTACATTAAACAGCCTACCCACATGAGCTGCAGCACCTTCTCCTGGAGCTCACAGCTGCTTTCCCCCAGGCACAGCCCAGGCGTACCTCGGTGAGCACGGGCGGAGGCGGCAGCTCGCTCAGTGGCAGCGGCTCCAGGGCGAAGGCCAGCTCAGCAGCCCTGAGGGAAAGAGAGCATTAGAGTCATTGAATCAGCGAGGAGACCTGCGAGATCATGAAGTGCAATCGGCAGCCCAGCACTACCGCTGTAACCCCTGAACTGCATCACCTAGCGCCAGATGCAGACTCCTCTTAAGAACCTCCAGGGACAGTGACTCCAGCACCTCCCTGGGAAACCTATTGCAGTGCTTGACCAACTGAACAGTTAAAAAACATTTTCCAGTGTCTTACTGAATCTCCCCGATATCAAGGCCATTTCCTCCGGTCCCCTCCCCGCAGGCACAGCAGAAGAGACTGGCTCCCACCTCACTGCAAACTCCTTTCAGGGAGTTGTAAAAAATGATGAGGTACCCGCGAGCCTCCTGTTCTCCAGAATAAACAAACCCAGTTTCGTCCGATCCTCGCTCCCGGCACAGAACACGTCAGCCCGGGTCCGCCGAGCTGGGGCCCGGCCAGCTGTGCGCAGCCCCGCTCACCACTTCCCGCTGTGCTGCAGCCCGCGCTCGCGGCTCCGCTCCGCCACGCTCAGCAGCTGCTTCTTAATCTCCCGCAGGTCCGAGAAGTCACCGCCGCCCGCCGCCATCGCCGCCATTGCCGCCATCGCCCGGCCCGGCCAATCACCGCCCCGTACACTGCACGCCCGCCCGCCGGCCCGGCCAATCACCGCCCCGTACACTGCACGCCCGCCCGCCGGCCCGG